CAGAGCGCGACAGCACGTGTGAAAACGGCGTGATGCAGTATCGGATAAAAGAAGCGTGCGAAAAAGAAGTGGGTAGTAGGGAATTGCAGAGCGATGTGAAATGGGGGAGGGCAAGAGGAAACACGGGAGCAGACGACTCAGAGAGGAGGGAGGAGAAACTGGAGAGCGGGAGGAGGCGCGAACGGCGTGGCTGGGAGGCAAAAGTGCCGGCGGCGCCAGGGCGAGTCAGCGCGCCATGTCTGCGACAGAAGGGTTGGGAAGGTAGAAGAACGGGAGCAGACGATGCAGAGAGGAGGGAGGAAAGGATGGGAGAGGGAAGGGAGAGGAGCGGCGTGGCAGCAGGGCATATGTGGCCGCGGCAGCCCGGCAAGATCCAGGGCGCCGGGCTGGCCCAACTAAACATGCGCGGGCCGCGGAGTCAATGTTATGCCTGAGGATGCGCGCTGTCGTTGCACGGCGCGCCGTCGAAGGACATCAGGGGTCGCGGGCTGATCGGCGCACCGCGCCGAAAGCCAGCAGGGAGGCCTGGCGCTTCGCAGGCGGCTCCCCCACGACGCTCTTCTTCATCAGCGGCGCGTGGCTGGTGGTCCGTGGCGCGTACATCAAACTGCCGCTCATGGAGGAGGGGTCTGGCGCGGCCAAGCCGGTGCGGAACCGGCGCGTTCGAAATTTGCCGCTGGCCGGCACCGCCAGAGCGCCTCCCTGCAAGACGTGCCGTATCTCGCCCACGCGGATCAGGAGGCCGTCGTTGTGCAAGGCCTTGGTCGCCTTCACGGATTCGCACGTCCAGTGCTCGGTGTTGTTGAAGCTGAGCGTGGGGCCTGGGAACTCGAGGCCCTGGAGTTCCGGGCGCGTACGGAGGTGGTCGATCAGGCGAACGCCGAGGTCCTGGCCCTGGGCAGAGCTCCATGTTGCAGGGAATTCCACGGCCGGGTAGGCGAGGCGGAGGTAGGAGTAGCAACTGGGACCCACGGCTCGCATCTGAGAGGCGTCGCAAATCACGTCAGGACAGTCGAGACACATCTGCCAGGCGTGGAAGTGGCTCGTCCCGCCGATGGACATGAAAAAATGCCAGAGACGGTCGGTCGTAGTCATGCTTGGCCACTGGCGGGCCGCGGTCTCCGTCATACTGAATGTGACGGGGGGGCCGGGCTTCTTCTCGGAGGTCTTCAGGAGTACGCGCGCAGTCTGTGCCAGGTCGTCGGGAGCCCCGTCGAGGAACCCCCGCGGCAGAGAGTGCAGGAGGTCCCGGACGGCGATGATGCGCATGCGGAGCTCGATCTTGCTCTCACCGTGGAGGATGCCGTCACCGAGGCTAGTGTTGTCGAGCAGGTGGTCCAAGGCGTCTGGGTCGATGGTGTAGCCACGATCGTACTTGAGTCTGTGAGGGCCTTCCAGCAGGGCGCACACGGCGTCTAAAGAGTACGTCTTGCGGCCGATGTACACGAGCCAAAGATACTCAGGCCAACTTTTGGCTGCAGAGACAATCCGGCGGATCTCCAGGGTAACCTTGTCCAGCTCCCGGGACGTGGCACAGAAGAAAGTATCGGCCATGATAGAAGCAACCGCCGCTTTGAGCGAGACGGGCCCTTCGGCGGGAACGACCTCGAGAGAGTCTGAAACTATCGTGGGATCGAGGAGGAGCCGCGCACGGTGTCGCCGATCTCGTTCAAGCCACGTCGCTCGGAAGAGAGCGAGCATGGCGTCGTCAACTTGGGGCAGGCCGCTTATGCCACAGGCCGCCTCAAAGCATTCCGAGGAGCAGAATACGGGTTGCACGGGTTTGCCCGTGGTTCCATGAGTTTTGAGGTTGTCGTTCAACAGAAAGCTGCACGAGGGACTCGTGCGAAAGTCGAGCAGGGCGTTGACTGTGGAAAGCTGGGAGCACGAACAGCCTTGGAACGCACATCCAGGCCGGACCATCTCACAGCAGCGAACGTGGCCGAGAAGGCGGTGCAGGCTGCTGGAAGGCTCGAGCATGAATGGCCATGGAGAGGAGGGTAAGCAGGAGCAGGTGCAGGATGAGTCAGGATGAGCGGGATAGGAAGCCTGTGGGGGGATGCGTTTACTCAGGCAAGCTGATTTCGTGGTATGCGAGCGTGATAGGCTGAGCGTCCTGCAGACGTCAGTGTAGCCGTTTGGGACACATGTGAGGAGGAGGAGGAGGAGGAGGAAAAAGAAGAGGAGGAGGAGGAGGAGAAAGAGGAGGACGAGCAGGAGCAGGAAAAGGAGGAGGAGGAGAAAGAGGGGGAGGAGGACGAAGAGAGGAGGGAAAAGAAGGAGGATGAGGCAAAGGGAGGAGGCGGAGGAGGAGGAGGAAGAGGAGCAGGTGATGTCTGCGCGGCCGTTTGGGACGCTTGTGAGGAGGAGGAGCAGGAGGAGGAGGAGGAGGAGGAGGAGGAGGAAGAACAGGAGGAGGAGGAGGAGGAGGAGGAGGAGGTGGTAAAGGAGGTGGAGGAGGGGGAGGAGAAAGAGGAGAAGAGGAGGAGAAGTAGGAGGAGGAGGAGGGGGAGAAGGAGGAGGAGAGGGAGGAGAAGGGGGAAAAGGATGAAGGAGGAGGAGGAAGTGGAGGAGGAGGAGGAGGAGGAACGAGTCGAGGAGGACGAAGAGGAGGAGCAGGAGCACGAGCAGTTGCAGCAGGAGGAGGAGGAGGAGGAGGAGGAGGAGGAGGAGGAAAGGAGGACGAGGAGCAGGAGAAGAGGAGGAGAAGGTGGAGGGGGAGAGGGAGGAGGAGGAGGAGGAGGAGGAGGAGGAGGAGGAGGAGGAGAAGGAGGAGGAGGAGGAGGAGGAGGAGGAGAAAGAGGGGGAGGAGAAGGAGCAGGAGGTGGAAAAGGGTGGAGCAGGAGAAGGCGGTGTAGGAGGAGGAGGAAGTGGAGGAGGAGGAGGAACGGGAGCAGGAGGAGGACGAGGAGAAGGAGGAGAAGGAGGAGAAGGTGGAGGAGGAGGAGGAAGATAGGAGGAGGAGGAGGAAAAGAGGAGGACGAGGAGGAAAAGAGGAGGAGGAGGAAGCGGAGGAGAAGGAGGAGAAGGAGGAGGCAGCAGCGTCGTGGGGAGGGTGTTGTCTGGAAGGTGGAGGCCTAAAGGCAAACCTTTTGGACGCCTTTCTGGCGCCCTGTGCAGTTGGCTGGGGGCCTTGTGTGACCTTCGTGGAGCCTTGAAGGCGTGGTCGCTCTTTGGGGCGTCGCGTGGATTTGGTCGAAGCCTTTTTTTGGAGTGTAGTGGCCAGGGAGAAGCGTTGAGCAATGTAGGGGCCGTCTGGGCTGTGTGGGCAGAGGCTCGGGAACCCGGGAAAAGCGTCGAACCATGTATCGGGGGGCACGGGGATGGCCGTCCGAAGGGTGGCTGGGACTCGTCAGTCAGAGCCGTCGTACACCGTATTCAAGCCGTCGGGGGGGCGTCCTGAGCCGTTTGGGGTGTTTTGGCAAGGAGTCGGCGACTAAGAAGGAGCGGCGAAAAAGGTATCGGGAGCCGTCTGGGCGTCTGGGCGTGTCAGGGAAGAGTGGCGGCGATGGCCATCCGGGGTTCGAAAGGCTGGGTTGGACCGGGGGAAAAGGTATCTGGGGGGGGGGTGTGGGCCATCCGGGGGGGTTTTTTCCTTACAGGATGTATAATTATAGGAATGTATATATCTCGTGTTTTTTCATTCATCAAATTTTGGCAAGAACACGCTCGCAGATTATTTGTGACGAGCCGTGCTACCAAACCATTGTTTTATCCCGAATGTGTTCGGGAATTTCGAGGTTGGCATCCTTACGCCCAAGGTTTTTGACGGATTCCGGTATGCGTGCGCGACGACGCGCGCGTGTGGATTTTGTCCCGCATGTTGTATGGTTGTTTGGCAAACGTGTGATTTGTAATGGGCGAATGCGCGTGCACGGTGTTGTGTTGTTTGATGACGGTGATGTGGGGGAACATGGTGGTTGGGATGGCATCCGCTTCGCATGTCGAAAGGACGATGGGGCAAAGTCGCACGTAAATTGCACATCCCCAGAAAAAGGGGGCGGATTACCCATGGTAGGGGGCCGTAGATCCGAAGTTTTCGTTATGTTAATGCCGTTATATGTTGTGCAATTTGTGATGTGCAGTGTATGTTGCGCACACCATGCGGTGCGACCCATATGGTGCAATCTATGATATGAACCAATGGTTATGGTGCAGTACATGTTGTGCGAGGTCTGTTATGACATTGGTGCAACGTGGTGCAATACACGTTGTGCATCTTATATGGGGCTACCTATGTTGTGCAGTTTATGCTGTGCAATTATGGAATGCAAGATGTGCGGTCTCACGTGCGACGTGCGATCTATGTTTTGCAACCCGTGTGGGGCAATCTATGCTGGGCAAAGCACTGTGTGGCGTCAGTGTTATGTATTCTACGTGGTGCAGTTTGTGAGATGCAACCTTTGTGGTGCAATCGAATGTGGTGCGATCTATGTTGTGCGATGTATGTAGTGTGGAATCCACGTGTTGCAGTTCACGTTGTGCAACCCATGAAGTGCAATCTATGTTGTGCATTTTTTGTTGTGCGATCCATGCGGGGCGGCAACGGGGTGGCGACGGCGGCAACAAGCGCGGCGACCGACGGACGGGCCAAGGCGACGGGCGGCGACGAGACGGTGACGGGGCGGCGACGGCGCCAACTAGCGCGGCGACGGCCAGACACGCCCAGACGCCGGGCGGCGACGAGGCGGCGATGGGGCGGCGACGGCGGCAACATAGCCGCCAGACCGACAGACAGGCCCAGCTCCCCAGTAACAAGTAGAACCCCTTTAATGCAATAACTCTTTGGGTTGCAAGGGTTGCACCACGCAGATTGTATTGCATCGCGCATAGACTGTACAGCATAGACTGCACAACATGGGTTGCTAAACGCACACTGTTTCGGGCCCACGTTTGCTGACCTATGTTTCGCAGTGTTTGGTTCCTCGATCCTCCCCCGCTCATACTCTTCGCCCCCACTCTTCTCAAGCTCTCCGTTTGCCCGCCCGCTCCTCCCCGAGGCGTGGAAGGAGAAGAGGGACGCCGAACGGGCGGCGAAGGAGGAGCCGCCGCGACCCTTCACTTTGTGCGAGACGCGGGGCATTGGCAGAGGAGAGCAATGACTTCTTGGAGCCACGTTTCCGCGCGAAGCTCCAGAAGTGTTTACGGCCATGCAGTGTCTTGTTCCGCCCTGGCGCGCCAGCATCGAAGTGCGCGTGCACGGCGCGCGGGCGTGGCGCGCGCACGGCGCGCGCACGGCGCGGGCACGCGCGCGGCACGGGCACGCGCACGGCCTGGCACACGGGCGGCACAGCGTCTTTGTGGCCTCCTGCAGGCCAAGGGCGGCACGGGCACGCGCACGGCCTGGCACGCGCACGGGCACTCCGCGCCCCGCGGGCACGTCACGGCACCCGCGCGTGCGGCGCGCGCAGGGCAGCTGGCACGGAGCGCCGCGCCCCCGCGCGCACGGCGGCACGCCCGCCGTGCTGCCGCGGCGCGGGGCGACGGCACGGCGCGCGCCAGCGGCGTGCTGCGGCGTGCTGGCCGGCGCCGCGGGGCGCAGGAGCAGCAGAGGACGGAGGCGAAGAAGAGCGGCGGGAAGGCCCCTCCGCCGCCTCCGCGCGCCCTCTCCCTCCCCCCCTCTCCCCTCCCCCTGTCCCCCCTTCCCCCCCCTCTCCTCCCTCTCCCCCCCTCTCCCCCCCTCTCCCCCCCCTCTCCCCCCCTCTCCCCCCCCTCTCCCTCTCCCCCCCTCTCCCCCTCCCCCCTTCCCCTCCCCCCCCCTCTTCAGAAGTCACGGGGGAACCGGGCAGTGATACCGCTGCTCGTCCTGGAGAGGCCTCGTCGCCACGGCTGGATTCTCTCGCAGTGTCGGGTCAAAGCGCACCCTGGGAGTAGGGGTATTGGTGCGTTTCGGTTCTCCCAAGACGTGGACGGTCTCCTCCTCCGTCACTCCTCCATCCTACCCCCCTCCTCCGTAGAAGTAGGCAGTCTCTCCCTCCTTCCTTCCTCGGGGGCGACTCCACCGTCAAGTGTCACGATCAGATGCCGCTGCCATCCTCGGTTCCAACGAATGCGGCCGTATATTCTCCATTCGGAGCGCGGCATTTGTTTGCCCCTTCCTGCCTCTTCCTCCGCCTCCTCCTCTTACTCCTCCTCCTCCTTCTTCTCCTCCTCTTCCCTGTCAGTCTTGGGCCTGGCTGAGAAACGACAGCGGGGCCCCGTCAAAGACTCCCGCTCGGGAACCCTCTGCTTGGAGGTCGGTGCCGCCTGCACTGACGAGCTCTGAGCAGACCCGGGGACCAGGCGCAGGACAGGCGGAGGCGCCTTGCTCCAATGTTTCTGCGGGTTGGGGGGGGTCGTCCGCCCTTGCTTGGGGTTGGTGGATGCCGGGCAGGGCGGGTTCGGGATGCGCGACGCGTGCCGTTAGCCAAAGAGGTTTCGGCGGCATTTGTGCGCCGCCGCTCGGAGCCGCCTCTGCTCGGTGCAGCGCGCGCGCGCTAGCCACGCGCATGCGAGGAGGTGCGGGCTCCTTTTCTGGTGTCTCCCTGTTTCGCCCGCTATCTGCACGGTGTTTTGCGCAAGACGTCCAACAACTCACTGGGCCTGGCGCCAAGTTGGCTGCAGCAGCCGCGTGTAGGGAGGGGGCTGCTGAGTTGGGGAGGGACGCGCTATCAGAAGAGCAAGCGACATCCGAGCAGTGAGAAGGCTACAACCATGAACGGGCACTTGTTTCTAAGTTCCTGCCGCGACACGGAGCTATCAGCTTTGTATTCCCACCCACTCAGTTTTTTTCCCTCTCCAGATTGCAGGGCCATGCAGGCGCGGCTGGCAGCCTTGGGATGGTATGTTTATTGCTAAGGCCCTATGTCTGGTGTGCCGCCGACTCTGGAGGCCTCGGCCTTCCGACACGCCCTGGGGGGGTGGAATTCTCACCCGGGACCAACCCCCAGGACCACCCACTGGGCCCCCCCCCGAGGACCCCCACCCAGAACCCCCCTTCCCTCCGCGGGGAAGGGATGAAAGGGAAGTTCCCTTCGACTCAATAACAACGTTGCTCAATTTCGCTGTGGATGGGTTGGTGTATTTCGCTTTGGTTGGCGCGCTTGAGGCCGAGGGCCCAAGGAACGGGGGGGAGCGGCGACGGACTCAGGGGAAGGGGGGTGCTTGAAGGGGCGTCTGCTTTCTGTTTGTGGCGCGTGGCGGCCGTCTTGTCCGGTTGGCTCCATTCCCACCAGATTTCCCCTCCCTTGACCCTCCCGTCCCTTCACGTCCCCCGTCCAACCCCATCCTTTCCCCTCCTTCCTTCCCCCTTATCCCCTTTTTTCCTTCTCTTCCCTCCCCCGCTCTCCTCCCCTCCCTCCCTCTCCCCCTCCTCGTCCTTGATTCCCCCCCTTTTTCCTTCACCTCTTCCTCCTCCTCTTCGTCCTCCTTCCCGTGCCTCGCGAGTTCCCGCGCTCGGGCGACAGCGATGTCAGCGACGGCGACGACGACGATGGCGACGACGACGGCCCCCTGTACAAAGCGCCGCGGCAGACCGCCGTCGGCATGAGCGGGCGCGATTTGTTCACCTACGACGCGTCGCTGTTCGTGGACGACGACGACGCGGTGGACGAGGCCGCTTGGGCGAGTCGCCCGTGGGTCTTTCACGGGTCGCCGGCGACGCTCCTTCTTTCCTCGTCATTTCCCCTCATCTCTATTTGTTCGTCTTCATGTTGTGTTTGCCTCTTCCTTTAAATTATCCCCTGTTTGTTCCCGCCCCCATCATGTCACCTCTCCCCTCTTCCCTCCCCCTATTCTCCTCAATGTCCCCTCCCCCCTCCCGTCCTTTTCCCCCCCTCCGTTCTCCTGATCCTTCAGTGTTCTAGGAGGGGCGTGCCAGTGCGCGTTCGAGACAAACGAGAGCGCATGCCGAACACCGCGACTCATTCTTCATGTTTTTCCCTTGCAGATCACACCTGGCTTCTGCGTCCCCAGACGTGTCGGTAGGGTGGGCCAGGCGATTCGCCTCGGGCTTCCTCACCGCTTGTGATCCTGAAGTTGAAATTCGCAGTAGTTGCACGGATTGATCACATGTGGTTTTCAACATGGGGTTCTTCGCCATGGCGCCGCACACAATCGCTATGGCGCCGCCGCAGTTGTCACAGGCATGGAGTAGGCGAGGTTTTGAAGGTCGGGCGACAGGACCAAACGCCACAACGCCCTGCGCAACCAGGCCTTCTTCGACGCCCTGGCCGCTGGTCACGCCGGGGCTGAGTTGGAGCGCCTGGGGCTGCTACCCACGCGCCCCGCTGGGGAGGCCACCCCCGGGGGCGAGCAGGGCGGATCCCAGGTGGACGAGAACGGCCGCCGCCCCGCCGACGTCTACCTACCGAGGTGGCGCAACGGCACGGCGGCTGCCTGGGATTTTGCCGCCACGTCCGGGCTGCGCGCCGATCTCCTCGCCGCGTCGGCCGCGTCGTCCAGCGCGCCGACGGAACGATACGAGGAGTTCAAGAGGCAGCACTAGGACACCGCGCGGCTGTGCGCGGAGCAGGGCTTCACCTTCATCCCCATGGTGGTGGAGGCCCATGGCGGCGGGTGGGGCCGCGAGGCGCGCAGGGCCTTCGGGGTCCTGGCCAAGCGGGTGGCTGACGCCACGGGGGAAGACGCCGCTTTGGTAGCGGACCAACACGCCCAGCGACTCTCCGCCCCCCTGCACAGGGAGAGCGCGCGGGCGGTGTTGCGGCGCCCCCAGACACAGTCTGGAGGGGCGGGAGTGTTCGTGGCCCGCCTGGCCGCGGCCACGGCGGCCTCCACGGCGGACGCCGTGTGAGCGCCGCCGGGCGCTGCCTAACGCCCCCTGCCCACTCCCCCCGCCCTGGCTGGGCAGCGCGGGCGCCTCGCCAGTGTCCCTTCTCGCGGATGGCGCGCTGGCGCCCCCCCGCACTGCCGGCCGTCCCTTCCTCGGCGGGGCGGTGGGTGATACCGCAGAGGTTCCCTCCCCGCCAAGCCGCGGCGTGCTGGGTTCGGTCAGGGCCCCCCCCCCGACGCCCTTCCCGACGCCCTCCCCGACGCCTTTCCCGACGCCTTTCCCGACGCCCGCGGCCGACCCCGCCGACGCCCTTCTCGACGCCCTTACGCCCGCGACCCCCCCCCCGACGCCCTTCCCGACGCCCACGCCGGCCCCCCTGTGGCCGCCGTATTGCCCGTAGGTTCGTCGCGGGTGACCTTTCCTTCCTGGCCCCTGGCCCGGCCCTGCTGCTGCTGCTGCTGCTGTTGCTGCGGCTGCTGCTGCTGCTGCTGCTGCTGCTGCTGCTGTTGCTCCTCCTCCTCCTCTTCCTCCCCCCTGTTTTCCCTCCGCTTCTGCTCGTTGCTTCCCTCCCTTTCCTTTCCTCCTGCTTCCTGCCTGCTGTTTCCGCCTGGCCCGTTTTCTGCCTGCCCGCCCGCCCCGCCGGCCCTGGCCTCCCGCCTGGGCGTTCGTCGTCGTCTGCGTGCTTTTCCCCTCTTCGCCCCCGTCCGCCGGACCGCGCTGCCCGCCCGGAACCACGAGGCGGGCTGCTGTCCCAGCCACATTGGCCTGTATGTTCCAATCGCAGCAAGAGCTATAAGGATGGAGGACGGTCCTTGTCCAAACAGTCACGATGAAGGAATCTCGTTGGACACTTCTGTGATCTTTGTGAGAATTCCTGCTCGCATTCCTGATCCCGCGCTCGAGGGATGCAGTGCATTTCCTTTCGAAAATGGGGCCGCCGCCTGATCGGCAAGCCCAGAAGGGTGCTAGTCTCTCAAGGGGGCGCTTCTTGCAGTGAAAAGGAAAGCTGACAAGGACTTCTGACGAGGGAGCTCGGGACCGGAGGGTGCGTTGCTGCCCCCCCTCTCGTATTTTTCCCGTCTCTCTTTCTCGCCCTCCCTCTGCAGTCCGACGCCATCGGCCTCCCCAGCGCGGAGCGAGCTGTGGCGGGCGGCGCCGCTTTTGGGCTGCTGTCTGGCGGTGGAATGCGGCGCGTGTTCAGGCCCGCGGCCAGCGCGGCTCGCGAAGCAGCGACCACCGACAGCATCGCGACGGCTCCAGCAAAGGCCCTGGAGGTTTTGGCATCGATTAGGGGGCCACATGCGAACCCTACCCCTACCCCCCACGACTTCTGAGGGGGGGGGGGGGTTCACTTCTTTCGGGAGCTCGATCGAGGTGAGCCCCACCCCCTCCCCCTCAGAAGTCGTGGGGGGTAGGGGTAGGGTTCGCATGTGGCCCCCTATCGGTCGATCCACAGTCAGCATCTACTCCCATTTTCCGGCCGTCGGTTTCATCAAGTTCGGCCGTTGTTGCCCGAGTGTCCGATCACCGCGAGCAGCAATGATACAGGAGAGCGGTTTTTGCGGAACCCCTAATTCTCATCCTCGCCCTCCTGCTTTTCGTCGTGGTCGGCCATTTGGTTGTCTCGATCGGCTACGAGCACAGACGGCAGGGCAGCAGCCGTCACGTAGCCTTGGCCTGGGTGTTCGCAATACGTCTGGGTGTTTGAGTCGGCTCCGCTGGCCCGGAGGCGCGGTCGTGGTGAGCTGCATCATCGTCGCGTGTTTCGTCGAGCTCAGTGGAGGTAGTCTTTCATGACATTGTCATCGGTATCGTCTCGTCTCCTCCTCCTTCACCTCCTCCTCCCTGTGTTCGTCCCTCACCCCGTCATCCCCGCCTCCTCCCCGTCGCGCCTGTGACCCCATGGTCTTGTCGGTGCGTCATCGCGAAGACTTTGCGCGCACTGACCCAGCATGTTGACCATGTCTAGCTTGATCGCGCCACGCTTCCAACATCTTCTGTCAAGAATTTAATGTCAGGTAGCGCACGTTGTGCACATGGCAACCTGATAGACTCAGTCATTCTGCTCCGTCTCCTCCTCCTTCTCGTCGTCGATTGCCTCTGTTAGATCAGGTACAATTTCGGTTTGGGAACTCAGACTGTGTGCATTCTGACGCAGACCCCCCACCAGAGAAGACAAGGATGAGGAGTGGGGTAGGTGGTGTTAGATGATCGGGGGTAATAATGATGATCGTGTGGACAAGCAAAGAGGGGGAGCACACATCTTATACCCATAATGAGGGCGAGGAGTAGGGATGATGATGCTGCTGATGATGATGATGACGTTGATTATGATGCTGGTGATGATGATGATGATGATGATGATGATGATGATGATGATGATGCTGATGATGATGATGATGATGATGATGATGATGATCATGATCATGATGATGATGATGATGATGATGATGATGATGATGATGATGATGATGATGATGATGATGTTGATGATGACGATGATGAGGACGATGATGATCATGCTGATGTCGATGATTCTGATGATGATGTTGATGATGATGATGCTGACGATGGTGATGGTGATGATGTGATGACGATGGTGATGGTTGTGGTGGTGGTACTGCTGGTGATGCTGCTGCTGATGATGAGGATGCGAATGATGATGTGGCAGAGGAGAAGCAGGATAAGAAGAAGAGGAATACTAAGGAGAGGAAGTCGGACGAGCCTGAATGGGAGGAAAGCGAGGAGCAGCAGGACCAACTAGATGAGGAAGATTGGAGGCCAGATATATTGGAAGGTGGAGTATAGTAATGAGGGGGATGACGGACAAGGGGACCAAGGGTGTTTACGCTTCGGTCGGTTTGGTTTCGTCGCAGTCGATTGCGTTCGATCGCTTCGGTTTGGTCGGTTGTAATATCGTTGCAGCGTCGCTGCGCCCTTTCAGCTGCTTTGGGCCTGTCGGTTTCGGTTCTGGTTTCGCTGTCGGCTCGGTCGGTTGTCGGTCGGTTTTGCCGTCGCCGTGAAAGACCTGGAAGGGGAATGGCGGCGACCACGAGGTGAGGTTGGTTCAATCCTTCCTCCGCACGACTGGTGGATGCGGAGGAGGAGGAGCAAGAGCAGGAGCAGGACACAGGAGCAGGAGGATCGGGACGATTGAAATGGGTACGGAAAGAATGAGTCCAAAGATCGACAGGTTCATTTTGAACCGGACTCGCTGTCGGTGTCGACGCGGACGTTGTCCGCTTGAGTCAGAAGGCCGCCTGCCCAACAGCGGCCGCTGTTGGTTTTGGACAGCCTGTACGCTAGGGCATCGTACCTCTTGCTTCCGTACCCACTTCGGGCGTCCAGAGATGAGGTCGTCGTCGCCGGAGGATGCAATGAGGTCACCCGCGTGGGCGCGAAGACGTGGCCGCGCTCGGCGCAATTCCAGACCCGAGCCGGAGAGGCGCCCTTTGGATTCCCGGGCGGCGTCGGCCGATCGCGAGGTCACCCGAGCGCGGCGCCCCGCTCGGCTAGACGTAAGAGTGCCCTCTCGCCGGAGTGACCTCTGATGCGGGCACAGAGGGGTCCCCGGGTGGCTGAAAACGAGGCCGCAGCAGCGGCTTGCGCGCCCCGGTTTGGTCCCCCCGCGGCCCCCAGAAAGCCGCGCACCAAAGGTCACTCTTGTCGGGCGAAGAGAACTATGCACATGCACCGATCCTGGCAAGGCCCATCCTTGACCCAGGATCGGTGCATATATCTTCCTGGCCAAGGTAGGAGGGCGTATGCACCGATCCTGGGCTCAGGATGGGCCTGGCCAGAATCGGTGTATGTGCATAGTTCTCTTTCCTCTATCTTGCCCAGGGTCACTCCTGCGTGTCGCCGACCCCCACGGGGGCGCGCCCCGCGAGGAGCGGAGGAGGCCCTGGGTGCGAGCAGCCCCGTTTCTCTCGTTGCGCCTCAGCCCTCGGGGGCGGCCAAGAGGGGGGTGGTGACAAGGGTGTGTGGGAGTGGGTGTGTGTGTGTGTGTGCGTGTGGATATGGCGGGGGCCACGATGTCTCCCCGAAGGTCCTCGCATTTTCCAGTTGTTCGCACCGGGCGTTCTCGCTCCATGTCGGGCCCTGGGACCTTCACGGATCGATGCGGCTCGAGACATGGCGCGGAAGGATGGGGACAGGGGCTCCTGTCGTCATAATTTGCGATGTTGCATGTCTTTGCAATGCCGGATCTCAGGGTCCCCAGATTTCATGGCGCTTCTGCTTATTTCAATACGTCCCCGGCCACCCCCCTCTGGGCCGCGCACGTGCCCCCGGCCATGATTTACGCCCCCCCTTCATGGACGCCCGCTTTTGGGTGCCCCCGATATTAGCAGCAGGCTTCCCCCCCCTTGTGGCGTACCTGTTCGTGGCGTCGACCCCCTTACATTTCTCGACCACTTGCCATGAGCTTTTGTTTCCGCCTGGGTCGTTTCTCTGGCGGCTCCAGGGCCCGGTGATGGCCCCCGATGAGGCCGGCGACAATCGAGAGCCGTCCGTCGTGAGCTGTTCCACTTCGCGAGGGGATCTACGTGCTTTCCTGCATGGATCCTTCGCAGGGCGACGGAGGGCGTGGATGACGCTTGATCTGGATCCATGAAGAGGGGTCTGACCGTCGAGGTTCAACGCAGGATTCGAGGGATCGCGCTTCTGGCGACGCGGGCCTGTTCTGTTGGTGTGATCCATGCCGATGGGGGAATGGGGAGAAGCAGGACGACGAATAATAGCACGTAGCACCCCGCAGATGCGGATAAAAGTGAGGGGGCGGTGGGGACGTCGGCAGTCTGCGAGACTCTGGGGAAGCCCGCCGCAGGCGCCAAAGTATCACACATTATACAACGAGCCCGCCGCAGGCGCCGATTTTATCTTCAAACCAATGTGATCGGTCGCGGGTGGGTCGCGAGTGGGTCGCGGGTGGGTCGCGGGGTGGGTCGCGGGTGGGTCGCGGGTGGGTAGCGGGGTCGGTCGCGGGTGGGTCGCGGGTGGGTCCTGGGGTGGGTCGCGGGTGGGTCGCGGGTGGGTCGCGGGTGGGTCGCGGGTGGGTCGCGGGGTGGGTCGCGGGGTGGGTCGCGGGTAGGTCGCGGGGGGGACGACGACAGCAAACAACAGCAACAACAACAACGCAACAAGCAGAATCCTCACCACGGATTCTCACTTCAGCCACGCACCCAGGAACAATGACCGTTCGGCCCCCTCACCCTGATTAAATCTTATGAAAAAATGAGCCCTGGGAGGCTTGTGCAAGGGGGGTTATCCCGGGGGGGTTGTCCAGATCCTCGCTGGGTTGTCCAAGGGGTTGTGCGGGGCAGGTCGTCTTGTCGTCATTCATCAGCATGGGTTGCCCGGGTTGTTAGTGTGGTTGTCCAGGGATTTTTTTTGATAGGATTTTCTTCCATTGAACATAGTAGTAGGAGGGGGAGGAGGAGGAGGAGGAGGAGGAGGAGGAGGAGGAAGAGAAGGAGTTAGAAATTGTTCATGATGATGATGATGATGATGATGATGATGATGATGATGATGATGATGATGATGATGATGATGCTGATGATGATGCTGATGCTGATGACGATGATGATGATGAGGATGAGGATGATGATGATGATGATGCTGATGATGATGATGATGATGCTGATGCTGAAGTGCAGGAAGCCTACGAGGAGGAGCCGGAGGAGGGGTAGGAAGAAAAGAGGAGGAGGAGGAGAAGGAGGAGGAAGATGAATTTGAAGAGGTTGCGGAAGTCGAGGGGATGAGGCGGACGAGGATGATGTGGTGTTCGCCTCTCTCGCCCACCGCCCTTGCCCTCCGCCCCTCTCCCGCCCACCCGCAGAAAGCCTACGCGGACAGGGTGGAGGTCCTGCTTTCTTCTTCGCGCTTTCTTTGGCCGTGTTCTTCGAGCGTCCTGGCCGCGTTCGTCTGAGCGTTGTTCCTCCTTTACTTCTTCTCCTCCCTGCTTTCAGTTTCCCTCCTCCACTCCTTGTCCTCCTCTCCTCGTCTTTCCCCTCCTCTCCTCGTCCCCTTCTTGTCCTCCACCTCCTTCTGATCCTTCCTCAGCCTCCGCCTTCCGTCCTCGTCTCAAGCCGCCTGGGCTCAAGAATTCTGGCGCCTGTGCCAGATTCTGGTTCCAGCGGGCACACGTCTTGGCGCCTAATTCGGGGCCAGAGGGCCCCACGGATTGAGCACGGTCTTCCAGTTGGGAGCCGCAAGACTGGGTAACATTAGAAAATCCAGAGTTCGCTAGGGATTGGTTCATTTTCAAAGCAGCCGAAAGCCTCCCGAAATCCTCCTAAAACAGTCAAGGAAGGGTTTAGGGAGGCTTTCCTGAGGGTTTCGGAAGGGTTTGGGTATGGTTTTCGTCGTTTGGGGGGAAGTCCGTCCCTAGCGAACCCTGGACTTTCCAAGGGTAGCACAAGCAGGAGATGGCCCGGCTGCTGGTGGTGCTGCAGATCGGCCTCACCGACGAGATCGTCAACGGACTCGAGGGCCGAACACGCCTTAAGCCAGGAGCGGCAGAAGGCGTCCGCCGAGCAGATAGACAAGGTGCCGTTGGCATTGCGTGGCGAGAGAAGATGCCAGCGTACGGCAGGTTCACGTCGTGTCGACCTCGGCGTTGGTTTCTGACACCGCGGGGATCGTTCAACCTTGTACGATCGCCCGTTTCCGACACGCCAGATCGTTCAACGATGTGCCAATGTTGGGCAACGGTCGGCGTTCAACTCTAAACGCCGGCGGCAGGATCGTCGAGAGGACCACCAGGGTGAGGTTGCCAGAAGGCCGTTGGATAGGATGCATCGACGAGGATGCGTCGCCGAGGGGGCCGCAGGAAGGGTACGTCGAGCCGACACTCGTGGCACAGAGGTCCAGAGCACAGGCGAGGTGCAGCAGGAGTTCGTGGGTTTCCCAAGCAAGGCCCCCCGAGGCCATCGGAGGCCTCTGGGGACCCATTTGCTCCGCCTCCCATCGTCCTCTCCCCCACCCCCTCCCACTCCTGCATTCCTCCCTGCCTCCCTCCATCAACCCATCCTCCCTTCGGATCTAAACCGTGCGCTCTGATTCTGATGTGATCACGCGGAAGCTGCCAAATGGTGTATGCCAACCGCCACAAGGGTTTGCAGAAGCCTTGTCGGGATTATCCAACCGAGTCATCAAGCGTTGGAAGGGCCGCTGACATGCATTGCACTATGTGCTTGTTGTTCGGTAAACGTGAGCCTTTTATCTCGCGGAGATCCAACACCGAATATTGGCACCGGTTTTTCAATGCCATGGTGGACATACATGCTTTCCGTGCGGGCCGACGGCACACGCAGTTCCAGCTTGGATGTTGAGGCAATCTTGAGATGAGGCCCGCTGTGGTTTCGGGGTGGGTTCGATCTTCCGCAGGCCATTCCATTAGAGTTCCTCGGGCGCTCCTCGCGCATCCAGGCGCAACCGAGTCCCAACGCGGGCCTCACTCCTTTTCCGATGTCCCTCTATGGCAAGATTTTGGCCGCATGGGGAAGAGGGCCGAACCTAACCAACCCTTCGCAACCCAATCGCCTCGGAAGATCTTCCTGTCTGAGCATGCGTTTGTCTTGCAGGGAGTTACAGGGACACGTGGTGCCAGAGGTTCTTGTCGCTTCGTTTTGCCCGCAGTTCGCTCGCGCGCTGCCGCGTCTGCGGCCCGAGCGGCCCGCAGAGAGCCCACTTTTGAAATTGGTCGCAGGTGTAGCTCTGTTTGCACCGCGATGTTGCCACGCTAGTGCAAGCTGTGCCAGGCGAGGAGGTCGAGGAAGTGGGAATAGGCGTGGGATGAGGAGGCGTATGAAGGGTTAAGGAGGAGGAGCATGATGATGGTGATGCTGATGATGATGCTGATGATGCTGTTGATGATGATGATGATGATGATGATGATGATGATGATGATGATGATGATGATGATGATGATGATGATGATGATGATGATGATGGTAGTGGTGGTGATAATGGTGATAATATGCTGCTGCTGATGGTCATGGTAATGGTGATGGTGATGGTGCTGCTGTTGATGATGATGGTGATGCTGCTGATGCTGGTGACGATGATGATGATGCTGCTGATGATGATGCTGATGACGGTGATGGTGATGGTGATGGTGACGGTGACGATGCAGATGAGGAATTTGTTGATCATGATGATGGTGGTGATGCTGATGCTGATGCTGATGCTGGTGGTTGTGGTGTTGCTGCTGCTGATGATTCTGGTGATTGTGATGGTGGTGATGACGATGAATTAATGTTTATGATGGCTATGAGGAGGATGAGAAGGAAGATGAAGAGGAGGATGAACATCTGTAGAACCTGCATACGGAGAAACATGATGAGCGGCGGAGGTGGAGGATACACATGATAACGATGATGAGGATTATGTTGAGGAGTGGGAAGAGGACGATGACCATTACTAGAAGATGAAGATACTGGAAGAGGATTGGGCGGAGGCTCAATCATCATGTCAATACCACGGGACGCAGAAGGAAGAGGGTACAGTTAGGATGGTGAGGTAAAGCAGGATAACAAGGAGTTGGATGAGCAAGCGTGGGAACACGTTCAGGAGGAGGCGGACCAGCATCATGAGCAGGATCATGCGGAAGGCGACGCCAGGAGCGACGCTGCATTGTAAGCTGGGCAGGCTACCCAGAGATTGCCCAGGTTCTCGTAGCGAACCTGGTCGGGCAGGGGGATTGTATCTTCCCTTCGCCCTGCGAGGGAGAACGGTCGGCGATCGAGCAGCGCGATTGGAGAATCGTCTACGCCGCTTACTTGTATCCGCGCAGCTGGCGTTTGCCAGCTGCCCTCCTCTGCCTGCGGCTGCTGGTTGCTTCTTTTTCTTGGACCTCCTCGATCCTCCAGGACCGAGGACCGGGGGCCGAGGATCGACGTGTTTGGACTTCCTTGGCACTTCCTTGGCCTTGCAGAGGCTCCCAGAGGCCTCCAGAGACTTCTCCGGAGACCTCTCCGGAGACCTCTCCAGAGACCTCTCCGGAGACCTCTGCTGGTTTCCGAAGGCGAACTTGGAGGCCTCGTGGCGGGTCAAGAGTTCTCTGGAGGCCTGGGAGGCCCCTGGAGGCCTCAATATTGCGTCCAGGATGCCACTCCTGGGGGGTGAGATTCGGCATCGGCGCTGGCACGTATCCGTGGTTACCCTCGCCGACTTCGGCGCAGTCCCCGGCAATCGGGCTCTACCCCAGGCTTCATTCAGGTCGGGCGAAAGGGGGGGATTGGGAAAGGGGGGGTTACGAAATTTGCTGCATGTAGCTGGTTTCGGCCTCACCGAGGGGCCCATTCCTCGATACATGGCCGCCTCCGGCGCCGGGAGGGGCCGGGAAAATCAGCTACGTGAGCTGATTCTCAAACCCCCCCTTTGCTATCCCCCCCTTTCGCCCGACCCGAATCGGGGGCTCGGCAGCGCCTCCTCGCTCCGCCGAGCACCTCCCAGCAGCGGCGCTCTCCCGGCAGGCCGTGGGGCCTCCACGGAGGCCTCGGGGGGGGGGGGGGCCACTCCTCGGGGGGAGCTCCCCGGCGCGCGGCGCCGAGCCCGCGCCCACGCGCCGCCCGCGCGCCCAGGGCCCCCTGAGCGACCGCGAGAGAGAGGACGAGGCGCGCGCGGCCCCGTCGGCCCCCCGCTGCCGGCCTGTCGATCTGGGCCTCCAGTATCGCAGGCCTAGAGGTTGACACCAACACCAATATCGGCGGTGTCCCTCCAGCGAGGGAAGAAAGATTCCGATCTCGGTGATGGTGGTAATAATTCTGGCAAGGTGACCGAAACATTGCCACCAACACCGAAATCTAGGATCATCATCCCCCTGTGGAGGCAACCCCCTTGTGTTGGTGTTGGTGCCGATTTCCAGGCCTCCAGTGGATGGGGTCCGAGCAGGCGGGGTCGGAGGATCGCGCCGCATCGCCGATGCCTCGGCGATGCGACTCAACGTGGAGCCCGAGTTGCTCCACGCCGGCGTCGGGGATGCATCGCCGATGCATCGGCGATGCGGCGGGATCCTCCGACCCCTCGGACCCCATCTAGTGGAGGCCTCTAGTCAAGGGTGGGAAGAATGACTACGGCGGGACCGAGGTATGAGATCGAGGTCGGTTCGGGGAGGGTACCCCACTGTTCTTCGCGTCTCTTGGATGCACTTGTGTATCCTGGGGGAGGGTACCCTCGAATGTTCCTCGGCTTGGCCAGTGGAGGGCCTCATGTTCTTGAAGGATGTTCTTCTGTCCTAGGTCCGACCGTACAATCAGTAATCAGTATCGCTCGACTCATTCCCGTCCCCACCAGGCCATGGTGTCTCAGCCCCACCATCCCACCACCCCAGTTGGGGATGGGCTCCTCGAACCCCGAAGAGAGCGGCCCATCTGCCCAGCAAGGGGGGGCACATGGGCCAGTGGGGCCCACAGGCCACGCCAGTGGGGATCGGGACCGGTTCAGCGATGTTCATACGATGGGTGGCCCTTCGCCGGAGTGACTCGGCGGCGAGCCCAGGAGGGAAGTGAGAAGGAGAAGGCCTTCTCAGAAGGCTCGGAAGTCCCCCGGCCTTCTGAGAAGTGTGATGAGCCATCCCCGAAGACGCAGGAAACTTCTCAGAAGGCACGAGGGCTTCTGAGAAGCCCCGCCGCCTTCCGAGAAGGCCTTCTCCTTCTCTCTTCCCCCCTCGCTCGCCGCCGACGTTCGTTAGCGGAAGGCAGCCAACGTTGGGGGGAAGAAGCGCTCCCTTTTCGTGCATCTTTTTTTCAGAACAGGAAAAAACATAAACACAAAGGGTTTTATTGGTTTTACGCCGGAAGGGGGCGTCGTTGAGAGGGTACCTGGCACGGATGCGGGGATCTGTGTGGCGTCGGTCTTTGGAGCTCTCGGTTTGCGTGGCAAGTGCGTTTAGCTGGTCGCATGTGTTCGGAACGGGTGACGGGTGGAAAAACCGCTCACCAGCAACTGGCAGTCCTCTGCCCGCGGGCCAGAATAAATTGTCGCGCGCTCGCGACGGGGTGTGGGAAAGGGGGTTGGGAAGAGAGCGCGAGTTTCATTCCAAAAAAGTCCATTCGATAGGCAGCAAACAGTCCTTTTTTTATTCATCTGCCGCACGGCCAACCGAACGAACGAACAACTGTCTCGGCGCGCAGTGTTAACTTCGCTTGCGCGCATCCTGGCTTCCTTCCGTTGCTTCCTTCGCTTCTTTCTCGCCCTCTTCTTTTTCCTTTTCCCCTGCTTTGCCTTGCCCCGCCCTCCCCTCCTTTCCAGCTCGGAGCTGTCGCCGCGCGCGAAGAGCGCAACCCAAAGGGCGTTGCTGCAATTTCTTTGTGTACCACGAAGTCTCGCGTAATTTCTTTGTGTACGGTCTGGTTAAACTGGCAACGCAGGGGGCACACAAAATAATTTCCTTTGTGTGCGACCGTTTTCGCCGCCCACGCGCGATTCCTTTTGTGTAGACCTTGCTTTCCCGCCTCGAGGAACGCACGGGGCCTGGCGCTACAATCACAAGGCCGCGGCGCCTGGCATTGCAATGTAGTTGCGACGGGTACCACGCCCACAACGATCTTGCGTGGATGTCGGCTCTTTTGCCGAAATCGCGCTGGCAGCTGGCCAGCCACATCGCCGGCCCTGCATGCCCGCGCGCGCTACTGCGTTTTGTTGCCGCGACGCGTGCTGCTGTCAACGGATGAACAAGCTGACGTTGCACGGTGGCTTGGCTGGAATGTTAGTTGGTCGCGGATTTTTGGATCTTGTCGCCGCCGACAGCCTTGCCACACCGTATATGTCAACTGCATCCTAGAGCGCGGCCGTGCATCAACCCTGGTTCGGATCGCTGGGGATCCAACCGCATGTGTGCACATGCGTTGCAAAGTTGGTGGTGCCAAAACCCTTCGTGTGAAATTCCTTTGTGTGTTTTTCCCGGCTCCTATTTTTGGGCCCGCCGTGGCAGTGGAGGGGCCCTTTGAAGGCTCCGTTAGGGCGTCGTTCTTTGAATCCTCGATCCCCCCCGTGTTTGTTGTCCCCCCCCCCCCGCCGCCGTGGGGGAGAGAAGCGTTCACTTGTCGTGCGCCTTTTTGGACCTGTCGCCGAGCGTGTTTGCCCCCCCCCCCCCCGCCGCCGTGGGGGAGAGAAGCGTTCACCTGTCGTGCGCCTTTCTGGGCCCGTCGCCTTTTCGCGGCACACGGTGCGGGGCCCACTGGGGTCCCCGCGCCGCGACCTGCGATGGCGACAGAAGCTGCCTGCGCGCTCGGGTTTGCCCCCCACCCCCCGTCCTCCCGCGCCCCTGCATAGAAAGCCGCGCACCAGAGACCCCTCTGCCGCTTGTGCACCCCCCCCCCCTCCCCCCCGATCCCCACTGTTGGCGTAGGGGATCGACTACATATTTGGTTCACCTCAGAATCAAGACTTGCTTCGAACCTGCGAAATTTGCGTAGCACGTCCTCAGATATCAGAGCATTGTTTATGTGTTGTCGACGAAAGCAAGGATTTTGTGGTAGATCAATTATGTAGTCGATCCCCCTATTCGAATTGCTGACGCCCGTTAGAAGCAGTCCTGGGCGTTGGCTCTGCCTGGACAGTCCTGCCCCTTTCAATTGCCCCCGCGTTTGCGTTTGCTGAAGGGCTTCGTTTGCAGGGGTGCTCATTAGGAGGGTGGTTACATGTATTTGTTGTCCGCCGCGGTCGTGGGCAGATCACGTCGCACGGTGGGGGGTTCATTTCGCTATTCCACGATTCGATTCGATTCGATTCGATTCGATTCGATTCGATTCGATTTCGATGGATTCCGATTCCGATTCGATTTGATTTCGGATTTCGATTTGGATTCCGATTTCTCAACGGTGGCCTTCCCAGCCTGTCGATTTTCGCCGACTCGACTTCTCCCGACTTGGCTGCCGATTGGGAAGGCCCTACGGCCGGTGCTTTCGGCCCTGTATGCGGGACCTCTCCCAGGACATCCGCACGCGACCCCCTTCTCCCCCATGGGACCCGCTGGGACCTCGGGGTGGCGGCATTCTGGCCGGGGACCCCTCCCCGACCACCCCCCTCCGACCCCTCCCCCGCCCCAACCTCCCTATAGGCAGATTTCCGCCGACCCGATTCACTCGTTTCTATCGCCGGTCCGACTTTTTCGGGGGCGCACAGAACCCCCAACCGTGACACGTCGATTGGTGAATTGTACGTTTTCGGTTTTCGAGAGGGCGCCGTGGCCGTTATTTTCCAGGTTTGCGCCCGCCAGCCAGGTTTGGGCCTCAGGTCGTTTTCACTAAACCACGTTTTGCTAAAGGGAGGTCTGTCCATCCCCGACTTCTCCATTCGATTCCGGGCTCTCCTGCGGTGTGCTTGTCCACGCAGTTTCGGCTTCCTGCCCGGGCCCCGGGCCGGTGCGAGGAACGACGCGGGACGAGAAGCCGGTCCAGGGCCCGGGGTCCAGGCATCCCCGGGGTCCGCGGTGTGGCCACGAGCATGGCGTCGAGGGTCTGGGCCCCGACGTCGCGCGTCGGGGCCCCGACGTGCGCAGGTGCACTCCCTGCAGCGGGTTGCGGGAGCTCGGGCTGTGCCAGAGGGAGCCCTGGCCCAAGGCGAATCCAGCTTCTCCAGTCGGGCCCCGAAAGCCTGCCTTCGCACCCGTCGCGGGGCCCAGAGGGCCGCAGGGGTTCCACAACGGATCTCTGTGGCTCGGAAAACTGGGGGCTCCTTGGGCCATGACCACCTCCGGCAATTGGCTGGCAGCCTCCGAAGACAGCGGCGGGGCAGAGTTTGCGTTCTGTTCCCTGTTGGGGCCAGGAGTGTGCCCAAGAGGGACGGCACTTACTCGTAAATCATCACAGTCGCATGATTCTTAGGCTTACGCCACACCGCCGACCCCTTGTTTATGCCAATCTGGGGGTAGTAGAAGCTGCGAAGGGGTGAAAAGGCGAGTGATATTTATTTGGTGTCTGTTCGCCGCCACCGCCAGAGGGTCTCGGGCAGTTCCGCGGGGAGGTCCGAGCGGACAGCGACACTGCGAGTTTTGGAGCCACTCGGGGGCCGTTTCGGAGCCTCTGGGGTGCTTCTTGGGGGTTCCTTGGGGCGTCTGGGCGGCCTCGTGAGGGCCTCTGGGGGCCTCTTGGGGCACTCTTGGGGCCCCCTGGGGCTCCTGGGGGCAGAAAGCTAGAGTTTCAACATGTTTGGTCGCCCTCTTGGGCCCCTCGTGGTGCCGTCTTGGAGCCCTCTTGGGCCGTCTTGGGGACCTCTTGGGCCGTGTTGGGGCCGTCTTGGGCCGTCTGGAGGCCGTCTTGGGGGCCTCTTGGGCCATCTTGGGGCTATCTTTGGGGCCTCTTTGCCCGTCTTGGAGCGTCGGGAAGCCGGAAAGGCGGAAAAGCAAAAAACATCGAAAAACACTCTGGAAAATCAGCAATTTTTGACTCTTTGGGCCCTCTTGGGAGGCTCATTTGGGACCTCAGGGGCCGTCTTGGAGACCTCTTGGCCCGTCTTGGGGCCATCGTGGGCGTCTTGGAGCGGTCGTTTGGCTTCTCGGAGCCTTCGTGGGCTGTCTTGGAGGCCTCTTGGGGGCTTCGTGGCCCGTCTTGAAGCCCTCTTGGGCCAGGAAAAGCCCCGTGGAGCGCTCGTCCCGGACCCCCCCCCCCCTCGAAATCGACCGGACCGGGCTCCCATCACAGTCGCATGATTTGCACACCAATGTTTGCCAGCGTGGACACCAGACAGTCAGATATGGCACTGTGGACGTGTACGCCAAGTGGTGCGCAAGCGTCTTTGCTGTCGGTTCCTTGAAGAGCAAGTGCATCCTCGGGACACCCCCACAGACGGCAACGGGCGGCAACGGGCTGGAACATGGCGAATCTTTGAGGCCCCCCCCCAGGCAACAACGGGCCTCAAACGGGGCAGGATCAAGCGGGAACGTGGCGAATCTTCGGGACACCCACCAAATCTTCAAGAAACGCAAGTAAGAATTCCTAAATGCAATCATTTTGGGGGGATATCGGCCACACGTGCGATGCGCTTCCGCAACGTTTGGCCACACGGGCCCCTCTCGATGGCAGGATGCGGCGGTGACTCGCCGTAGGCATGTTCGATACTCTTCCTTCCGCTCCTCATCATCTTTCTCATACCCTTCCCTCATCATTCTTCCTCTTCCCGCGTTGCGATCATTAATGTTCCTGTGCATTCCTCATCGCCTCCTCCAAAGACATCAGAAGGGTGTGCCAAGGGGATCCGCATGTCGTTACAAGTAGCTCACGCTCCGAGGCTATTGACTGCCAATTTCTGGGCTCTCCCACTTTTCGGTTTTGAAGTAGCTCCGGGGCGTCCCTGTGAGAGGCCACAGAGCGTATGCAAAAGGCCCGACCCTTACACCAAGGCAGCATGGCCACCATGCGGTTCTGGATCATGTGAAGGGCTGCGACCGCTGCTAATGATTCCCAAAGCTGATCCATCGTGCTGCTATGTTCCAACAGTAATGCTGAGACCATCTTGGTGCCTTGTTCGGCCATCCTGAGCGATTTTGGCGGCATCTTGGCGCCTTTTCGGGCTACCACGGGACCGTCCTTGGAAAGCTCCCAGGGTTTGGGGGGCATCCTGAAGAGATATTTGGACATCTTGCGAGCAAACGTGCGACACGCGAGAAATGTTGAAGCCATCATTTTTGCTCGATTGACGTTTGCCATCGGGACGTCTCGTGGCCCTCCTGGGCCGCCTTGGAGGCATCCTGGAGCCGTCTTCGGCGTCTTCCGCTCCTGCGGCCCTCTTCGGGGCCTCCCGAGGTCGTTGTCGAGGCCTCTTGTGGCCGCGCAGCGGCGACCTGGTGTAGATTCTGTGGTCGCCTGGCGCGGCCGGGAACGTGATCGACCGCGGGGGGCCCCTTGCATGCAGCAGCACGGAGACAGGACTGGTGAGCCAAGAGACCTCCTCCTCCTCCTCCTCCTCGTCCTCCTCCTCCCAGCACGCGGCACGCAAGGTTGCAGTCTCTCGGCAGACTTTACGGCCTGGCGCCCCTCACCTGGGGCCCGCGGACAATGGCAGTATCCCTTCCGCACTTTGCCGTGACGCCCAAGTTTTGTTGACTTCGAGCGCGAGCGAAGCGCGCGCGCATGTCACGAGTGCTTAGCTTCGCCGTTCCAGGCGGTTGCGAGGAGGTGCAGGAGGAGGGGGATGGAGGAGGGCAGAGGGGGACAAGTAGGATGCGCTTTCCGAGACGCGAGCGGAGGATTTCGGAGGAGGTGCCGTTCCAGATTTGCGCTCTGATCGTGCGCGCCCGTTTACGCGCGCGGCGAGGACGAGGAGTCCGACGACGACTCGGTCGAGGATGCCGTCCCTTCGCCCGTGGACGGGAGCGCCGGCCATCGAGCCGTCCAGAGCTCGCGCGCACTGTCTGTGGCGCGGGAGGGGAGTCGAATTAGTCCCGATGGTGATGATGATGCTGATGCTGATGCTGATGATGATGATGGTGATGGTGATGATGGTGATGATGGTGATGATTATGATGATGATGATGATGATGATGATGATGATGATGATGATGATGATGATGATGATGATGATGGTGATGATGATGATGATGCTGATGCTGATGCTGATGCTGATGCTGATGATGATGCTGATGATTATGATGATGGTGATGATGGAGACGACGACGATGATCTTATGATATGATTGAATGCGTGATTGTTGGTTGTGGTGTTGCTGGTAATGGCGGTGAGGTGGATGCTGCTACTGATGATGCTGTCGACGATTGTCATGATGATCACGTTTCGGGTGACGATGATGGTCGGGGTGACGACGACGATGATGATGATCGTCATCGTCATCGTCATCGTCATCGTCATCGTCATCGTCATCGTCATCGTCATCGTCATCGTCATCGTCATCAGTTCTGCTCCTCATGTCTTTGTTCGGGCCACTGCCGCAGGTCCAGGGGGGGGCCGACCGCCCCCCCCCCTGGCTCCTGATGATCCTCCGAGTCTGGCTGCGCAGGCAGGGCTCCTCTTGCTGCCGCGCCTCTCCTCCTCGCTGGTCCTGCTCCTCCTCCGTCTCCCCAGCTGCTGCAGCCCCGCTTTGGTTCAAGCCTGCTCCAGACAGGTGCCCCTGGACCAGTCCGTCGGTAGACCTCTCTGCAGGCCCTCTGCGGGCGTGGAGTTATCCAGCGGCCTGCTGGCCATCCCGCCGCCGCGTCTGGGTCGCTGGGAAGGGGGGCCCGTGGGGCGTTGCTCAAGTCGAGGGAAGAGAGCGCGCGAGGAGCATCCTCGAGGTGACTGTGACCAAACTGGACGGTGACCACGACACCGACGTTTCCACTCTCAGTTTTGGTCATGGTCACTGTCTTCTGCTCCTCCATTCAAGCCTGCCGGAGGGACCCTCGGGGGAGTCCTCCTGCCGCCTCGGGCGGGAGAAGCTCGGGGCACCTGGCCCAGCGCACCGCCCCGAGGCGAGCGAGCATGGCACACAGGCCGTGCCTCAGCAGCTCGCGCTCCTGCCGTGCCGAGGCGCCGGCGACCCGCCAGCGCGGGCAGCAAGGGGCGCCCTCGAGGGCGCGAAGTTGTTCGCGCTTCGCGCTTCGCGGTTCGGCTCCGATTCCTCCTCTTCCTCCTCGTCTCCCCTGGGAGGCGGCGCGAGAGCGCGAAGTTAATCGCACGTCGCGCTTCGCGCAGCGCGAAGCGCGAAGCTGGGAGCCCTCAGGGCAGTCGAATTCGAAGGCCTCCGGTGGCCCCGGAGTCGGCCGACGTCGAGCGAGCTGCGCTACATTTGGAAGCCGCGAGCGATTGCTCGAGGTTTTCAGCGGCCCCCGCGAAGTCGGGGCATCGGCGTCGACGTCGCCACAGCACGAGCCTGCCGCAGGGGAGGCTCGCGCGCGCCCCGCCCGCGGCGGAGGTCCCGAGAGCTCCCTGCGCCGATCCCCCGAAAGGGCGCCTGCGCGCCCGCTGCCGCTGGAGGCTCTGGTGGGAGCCCTGGAGCTTGGCATCGCTCGGACGTGTGCATTTTCCCGTGGGCGAGGACCATCGAGGAGCACCCTTGATCATTTGGCGAGAAAGCCACGCACGAAACCGAAAAAATAAAGGGAATGGACGTCCGAGCGATGGCCAGGGAGCGCTCACTCGTCGCAGGCGATTTGGTCTCCCCCCAGCCCCCTGGCTTCTCGAAGAGAAGACCTCTGCGATCCTGGCGCTGCCATTTTTTCACAGCGGGCGCGTTCGCTCAGCTTCGGGCCCCGGGGCCCTCACAGATCGCTCCGGCTCGGAAGAGGGCGCAGAAAGATGGGGTCTGGGGCTCTGGTCGTGATTTGTTGCGATGTTGCACTGTCTCTTGCAACGTCGGATCTCAGGGAATGAAGCCGCTCAGAAAAAGAGGGACCCCCTGGGATGCAGACGTACCCCTCTTGATGATTGGCGCCCCCCCCATCCTATTCCCCATGCTTGGCGCCCCAGATTGCCGATCCCATTGAAAGCCTCGCAAAACCTGGGATATGGATCGACAGATTCCCTGTTACCTTGCTCGGTGGCTGCTGGGCCAGCAGCTGCGCTTCACCGAGAGCGTTCTGGGGCTGCCCAGATCGTCCCGAAGGGCCGCCGCAGAGCCGAGTTGGATTCGCTTTGAAATCCTGGTCAGAAGGCACCCCGGGAAAGGTCTGGGGCGGTGTCGGTACCTTTCGGTTTCTCCAGTTGGAGCCTCCTTGGAAATCCTGGGCACCTTAGGCTAGGGACACTTCTAGCAACACCCAGGCTGCGTGCTCAAGGCGTGCTGGCGGACGCACCTTTCCGTGAGACATCTGCATGAACACGCGCTCTCAGATGTCCGCGTGGATTTCTTGGATCGGCGTTGGGCGCCCCGGCGCCGGCCCGGCGCCGCTACTGTCGCGCGTGGAGGGGTCCAGCATCGAAACCAAAGCAATCTACGCGGACCTCTTGAAAACGTGGGTTTACGCATGTCTTCCTTTCTAGACCTGCGTCTTGCACGCGATGGCGGTGCGGATGATCGTTGCCCTCGTGTTCCCACTGAAGCTCGCCGCCGGCACGTCACGGTGGACTTCGGAAAACGAGAGCGAGGAATTAGCGGCAGATGTTCGGAGCTCGAGCAAGACATTCTCAACTCTTCAAGCAATCAACCGATCTTCGCGGGTTGTGGATCTGATGTTGAGCAGGAACATCTCTGTGGAGGAGATAATTAAACAAACGATTGCGCACCGGGAGCGCGAGAACGGCACACTTGCTGATTTGCATCGTCAGAAGAATCTGTTAGAGCAGGACGAGAAGATTCGATCAGAGAAAGAGGCGGCTCTGCGGAGAGCCACTGCAAAGGCATCCTTGGCTTCCGCTGCCCGCAAGCAGGCAAAGCAGGCCTGTGAAGGTGCGAAGCACACCGTCATCGGCAAGGTGGCAACAAAGCAGAATGCAGAGGCAGCTCTGGAGGACGCGAAGCGCCACCTGGAGGACGTCGTCCAGGACACCTTGTCTTCGGACGTCCTCGCAGCGAATAGCGACTTGATTCACAGGACGGCGAAGCTCAAGGCCAGTGGTCGACCTAGACAGTGTTTCAGCGATTTCGTGGGCCGGTCTTGTTTCGATGTCGTTTTGCAGCAAAGTTGGATTGAAGACAAAACGATGGAAACCGAAAACAGAACGACAACGAAAAACACTGTTTAGGCCGATCCTGGCTCAAGGCTGCAGAGGAGGAGCTGGCGCAAGCGGAGAGCAACAAGACCGCCAGAGCCACAGCCTTGACCGAGGCAATCGCGAGGAGCAGCCGCTTAGAAGCTCGGCGACAGGAGGCGCAGGAGTCATCGAGCGCATTCCACAACTCGCAAACTGTCTACTCGCAAACGTCGTACATACACATGTTTGTCCGCTTTGATGTATCGTACATTCCTGCGGCAGATCCAGGCCGTTTGCGAGCAGTTACTTTGCGAGTAGTGGAACGCGCATGTCTAAGGAGGCCTTCGCCAGCGCCAGCGCCGAGGTCACGTCTGTCGCGGGCACGCTCGGGGAGATCCGCAAGGAAGCCCGCCCTGCGTTGAGCAGGGTCGAGAAGCTGAACCAGAGTTTGGAAGAGCAGACGAGCGTCGTGGAGGCTCTGAGATCCCAGAGCGCGTCCCTGCACGAGAAGCTTGACGCCGCACAGAAGAAATACACGGAGCTTCAGGAGGTGCTCAAGGAGGACTCGGGTTGCAAACATGATCTCCAACAAGCCGAGGCACGTGTCCGACATGCGTCGACTTCTTACAACTTGACGATCGCCGCGTACCAAGCATCGCCGCATGACCCGAACTTGCTCGGCTCGGCATGGGATTCCATCGACGAGCTGGAGAATGCCACGTACCAGAAGTACCTGAGGCAGAAGGCCTGTGCCCCAGAGGGCGTAGACATTCCGCCGCGGACCCCGCCGGCCCCGTGCGGGAAGGACACGGGAGGCACCTGCCGTGTCCTCTGGTGTGACGCGTCCCGTGGAGCCTACTGTGACTGGACCTACGCGTGCCTCTGCGCGGGTGCCACGTGTGCCAGAGACGGCGTCTGCCGCCCGCGCGGCCCGCCGGCCACAGCTCCGGCGGAGGCGGCGGCGCTCGGGAGGGCCGCCGCCCGGCAGGCCCCCACGGCAGCCCCAGAGCCGGACAGCCTGGAGTTCCTCTGGGGGGCCAGATGCGAAGCCTACCCCTACCCCCCACGATTTCTGAGGGGGAGGGTGGGGTTCATTTCGCTCGGGAGCCCTCGAACGAAGTGAACCCCTCCCTCCCCCTCAGAAGTCGTGGGGGGTAGGGGTAGGGTTCGCATCTGGCCCGCTATCCTCGGCACGGTCGCTGCGGCTGCAGTCGGGGTGCTGGGCGTCGTCGTGCAGAAGCGGCGCGCCCGCGGGCGGGTGGTCCTGCCTCCCTACCTCGGGTGAGAGCCAGCAGGCGGCGCACGGGACTGTGAGCGCGTCGTGCCATCCACTGCAGCAGCATTTTCGAGGGGCCACGTGCGGGAGTGGGAGTGGGCTCCAGGGGGGACGCATCGACCCCCAATGTCCCAAGCATCTCCCATAGGGGCCTGGATTACCCCGGCTGGGACCGTGCGGTTGCGCTCTCTGGACCATATTGGCGATGGATTGCCGATTCAGGCTCGATGCTTCCCCGCTCTGCTTTGGTATCATAGCAATTCATGGGAGCCTTGCGTGTCTTCGAACTGCAAGCTTTAAAGTGCATTCGCGTGCGCTAGCGTCTGGCAGTCGATGAGAAAGCGCCGATGTAGATTAGAATCGCTTGGCGTCGATTCGCAAGAACCAGCATGTGTCCATGGGATCTCCCATGAGTTTCCACATAACTTGGTCTGCCCCCACTGACGTTGCCCTTCAACTTTCGGGGCTCACGCAACCGGGGTCAGCACTAGCGTTGAGGACGTCGATTAATGGAGGAAGCGATGAATGGAGAGGAAGCGTGCTGCCAAGTAATTTCCAGATGTCTAGAACATGTTTTGAACACGTGAAACACATGCTTGAAACATGTTTAGAACATACTTTACACATGTTGAACTCATCTTAAATTCAATGATCGGACTGTTAGGGTGTCCACTGTCGTGACATCCACAGCACCAGCGGGGGTCAGTCAATCCCCTCTGGCTGACCCGGGTTTGAGGACCACGCGGGGCGGGCCGATTCCTCTGGACGCCCGAAATGGGTACTGAAAGAATGGGTACAATGCCCAACAACAATTCCTGTTCATTTTGAACAGGATTCGCTGTCCACGCCGCCGCGGCCTGTGTCCATTCGAGACAGAAGGCCGCCTGCCCAATGGCGGCCGCTGTTGGCTTGGGACAACATTTGTTGTTGGGCATAGTGCCCATTCTTTCCGTACTCCAGATTTCGTAATAAAGGGAGGGGGTCTCATTTCGGGGGGGGTCTCTTCCAGGCTATCTTGGAGGGCCTGGGGGGGTCTGGGGACGATGTTTTGGAGGGTTCTCCCACGAGGGGGGGTCTGAAATGGCTTGTCTTGGAGGGTCCAGACCCCCTCCCTTTTATTACGAAATCTGGAGTACCCATTTCGGGCGTCCAAAATTCCTCCCTGCCCTCCGCTGACCCGGCTGTAGGAGCTACGGAGCGGCCGGCCTGGCCTCACGACGGGGCCCTGGCTGAGTCGGGTTTTCACTGACCCGGGTGAGGGCGTCCCCCGAAATTGTGTACACCGGCAGTGGTTGCTCGGTAGTCCCCAAACGTGGTGGTGACAACACCTGGCGGTGAGTCTCGGGCGATTTGGTGGCACCACCCGGTTTGGGGACTCGTGCGGTTTTCCGAGGATGTCCCGAACACTGGTGGGGCCAGGAGTCACAAAACCCGGTGGTGACCCCGTGTCCCCAAACCCAGCGGTGACCTTTTTGGGGATTCCAGGTCGCCACCTGGTATCTCACCACCCGGTTTGGGGGTTCCCAAGTTGCTGGTCTCCTACTCTCGGGCGGGAGACGCTGGGCGAAGGCTGGCAAACCCGTGGCTTGGCTGCTAAAACGGAGCTCCGGGAAATTGTGTTGTTCTTCCGGGAGCAGCCTTAGTGCGCTGAGCTTTACGCTGGGGATCTGTTTTTTTCTTCAGGGAAGACCGTTTTAGCAGCCACGGATTTGCCAGTCCTCGCCCAGTCTCCGAAATTCGGGCGGTGACCTCAATGGGGGGTGAAGCTACGGGCCCAAAATAGGCCCGAAAGTGCTGGCTCCAAAAGGGGCTTGGCAGGGGCCCAGGTGATTACGACCCGCCCGAGACGCGTGCCGCGTCCTCCTCGCGGCGGGGTGGGGCCACGAAGAGCATGGCCGGCGTGCGAGGGCGAGGCACCAGCGGGCGAGAGACGCAGAGGCCTCAGGAGGGGAAAAAACACACAGACACAATGAATCGTCGATCCCCAAGAAAATATGGGAAAATATGGGAATTGGGCGGGAAGACAAAAACCCAGAAAATATGAGAAAATATGGGGAACATTTTTATTTGTGTGTATTTATTTGTGTGTCCTTGTGCCTCTTGACCCGGGCTCAGGGCCTTCGCTCTGCGACCCCTTCCGAGCTCGGGACGATCAGAGTGTGCACGAAGACCGACAGCAGTTCCTGTTCACTGTGGACAGGGCTCGCTGTCGCTGTCGCCGCGGGCCTTGTCCATTCGAGACAAAGTGCCCGGCAGCGGCCGCTGTAGGTTTTTGACTACGTTTGTGATTGGACATCATATGTACCAATTTTCCGTACCCATTGCGGGCGTCCAAACGAGCTCAACCCTTACGGGTCCACTCGACGCTGGGGTATCGGACACCCCCGCTGCGATTCACTTGGCTGCAGACATTCTGCAAATTCTGAACCTCAGCCGGTGTTTCCGAAATCTGACTTGCGGGTAGTAGGGTTCCCATGTTGCCGTTTATTCGCACCATGGGTTGGTCTTTATGTGGTCTCAGGGGAAGAAAAAAGATGCGACCATGACCAAAGTGTCGTGGGACTTGATCAACTCCCATCTAGGTCCTGGTCTTGCCGGCCGTCTCCGGCCGTCGCCGATTCGCGAGGACGATCCGTGGATTGCCGGTAGCCAAGGTGGACGATGGCCAAGATCGACACCAACGTGTCCGTGTTCAGTCTTGGTCACGAGCATCGTTCTCTTCCCCTCCAGTGCTCGTGTTTCTCCCTGATCCTCGCGCTTGCCTGCGATGCATTTTCATGCAATGCACGCGGCGACTCATCGAGTCCACTCCGTCACAGTGCCCTGGAGTGTGTCCCGAGAGTGCGGCACTTTTGCTGCATTTAGCTGACGTTTGCGACGTAGTATGTGGTGTTCAGTGCCAGGGTGCCCCGATAGAATGGCACTTCATGTTTTCTACGCGCGGGTTTGACGAGGATAAGCATACATCCCTTGTTTCCTCTACCCCTTCCATCCTCCTCCCTCCCTGCTCCCTCCTCCTGCTCCTCCTCTTCCTCCTCCCCTCCACGTCGGGCGGTCACGAATTCCCTGGTGCTCAACCACGGTGCAGGCAATCGCAATCAACACCATAGAGGGAGAAGGCGGGAGGAGGAGGAGGAGGAGGAGGAGGAGGAGAAGAAGGATGTCGAGGCCGAGGAGACGGCGGAGTAGTGATCGCGGTCGACGAGGATGGTGGAGGAGAGTGGTGACAGGGAGGCGGATGATGATGACGATGAGAATGATGAGCATGTTGATGTTGATGATGACGATGATGATGTTGATGCTGACGATGATGAAGATGATGACGATGATCAACATCAACATCAAGGTGATGATACTGATGGTGATGATGATGAGGATGATGATGATGATGATGCTGGTGAGGACGAGGATGAGGATGATGAGGATGAGGATGAGGATGAGGACGAGGACGAGGACGAGGACGAGGATGATGATGCTTATGATGATGATGGTGGTGGGTAATGATGGTGATGCTGATGGTGATGATGGTGGTGGTGATGATGGTGATGATGGTGATGAGGATGAGGATGATGATACTGATGATGATGGTGGTGATGCTGATGACGATGATTATGATGTTGATGATGCTGATGCTGCTGATGATGATGCGGATGAGGATGATGATGATGATGATGATGATAATGAGGATGCTGATAATGATGATGATGACGAGGATGATGTCGACGATGATGGTGGTGGTGATGATGATGCTGATGATGATGATGATGATGATGATGATGATGATGATGGTGATGCTGATGAGGAGGAGGATGATGATTATGATGATTATGGTGGTGGTGGTGATGATGCTGCTGCTGCCGCTGATGATGACGATGATGATGATGATGATGATGATGATGATGATGATGATGTTGATGATGATGGGGAGGAGGAGGAGGAGGAGGAGGAGGAGGAGGAGGAGGAGGGGGAGTAGGAGGAGGAGGAGGAGGAGGAGGTCGCGATGCTTGCGCGCGGCGGACCTTGTTCGGACAGGAGAGACGATGGGGCCTCGTGCGCTGTTGCTCTTGGTACACCAATTGACTTCATGCCACTCGTGGTACTGCTTGCCATTCTCCTCTGAGGCTGTACCCGTGCCGTGGCGTAAGTGGCTTGGTTCACCAAGCTCCCCAGATCTCCCGCGTCTCGGCTTCTGCAAACGGTGGTCGCCTGGATTTCATGGTCCCTTCCTGGGGCTGGTTCTGTCTCATCCCCAGCGGGCTTCTGAGATTGTCCCGCGGCCTCGGTCAGAGGATTCTCCTCCTCCTCCTCTTCCCCCCTCCTTCCAAGGGCAAGCGTGCTCGCCGCGAGCCTCGTGTACCTATGTAATTCAGTCCTTAGAGTGCGTCAGCGTCGATTAGCGTCTGGCAATCGGCGAGACAGAGCCGATGGATGAGCGTCGATTGGCGTCGACTTAGTGTCGACCAGCGTCGACTAGGGCCGAGCAGCGGCGACCCGCAAGGGCCAGCGCTATGGTATGGGCGGCTCCCACGAGCTGCCGCCGACGCCGCTGGCGCACCGCCCAGCTTTGGGCCGCCCTCTGCGCCGCTGGGCTCCCCCTCCTCCTCCTCCTCCTCCTCCTCCTCCTCCTCCTCCTCCTCCTCCTCCTCCTCCTCCTCCTCGTACTCCTCCTCCTCCTCCTCCTCCTCCTCCTCCTCCTACTCCTCGGGCGCCACGGCCTCGGCGCCCCGCGGGCCCCCTGGCGGGGCTCCCCTGCGGCCCGACCCGCCCTCCGTGCCTGGGGCTGCGGGTCGTTGTCCTCGGGGCCTGCCTGCCGGGGTGCCTCGGGAGCCTTTTTTCTTCGGGAGCCTCTTGCTGGACGCAGCGCTGAGGCCCAACGGGGGGCCGCTCCCGGGGCCTCTTTGGGGCCTCTCCGGCGGCCTCTTTGGGGCCTCTTCGGGGGGGCTCTCGAGGGCCTGCTGGCGGTCTCGGGGGCCCTCTCGGGGCGAAGGGCGCGGAGGGCCGGCCCTTGCTCCCCCTCTTGGGCCCCCTGTGGGGCCGTCTTGGGGATCTCCTGGGCCATCTTGGAGGCCTCTCGTTCATTGGGAAAGCCACCGCGACCCCCATACGTGGCGTTTACTCAGCGGCCCTGGGCGTTGACTAGACAGCCCTGCCCTGTTCGATTCCTCCGTTAGGTGCGTTTGCAAAACGGCTTTGCTTGTCGGGGTGCTTATTTTGGGGGTGCTTCTGCTGTTCTCTAGACAACCAAGAAGCGGCATAACCATAGTTTATTTTCTGGGAGGTCGCGCGGATCTCTTAAGTCGGCGCGTGCCCTCCCCCCCCACCCCCACCAGGCGGCGCCAGCAGGGTGGTCCAGCGCCGATCCCAAGAAATCCTTGCGGACTTTGAGAAATTAGGTGTATGCAGTTTTCTGTTCCTCTAGTCACGTGGGCCCCCTGACATGGCGCTCGCGACCGCTCACCCGAGGGGGCTGGCGCTTCGTCCCGAGAGTCGTGCTCTGACAGCCCTCCCCCAGGGCCTGGAGGTGGCACCTGGAGGCCCCATGCAGCGAGAACGTCGCCGCCTCGATGTCTTCGAGCCCCCAGGTGTCTGGCTCTCCCTCCGCCTCTTCATCGTCCTCCTCATCCTCGTCCCCTTCACTTCGCCTCCCAAAGCGGTCCCCCGACCTGTCCTTGGGCGGGCGTGTTTTGACCAGAGTCTGGAGGGGAATCCAGCCGTGGCCGCGAGAATCCTCCCAGAGGCCCATGCAAGGATGAAGCTTTGGGGGCGCGTAGTGTGGGGGGGGGGCGGGCAGCGATGGCTGTCCCTTAAAGGGCGCCTTTGGGGCCCGAGAAGGGCACCTTCTCTCCCCCCCCATATATCGCCCTCCAGCAATTCGCTCCCAATTCACATGTCGGAGAGCCGGAATGCTCGATCCTCTGGAGGTCCCCCAAGGTCCAAGGTCCAGGTCCCCCAAGGTCCTCCTCTGGATGCTTCTGGAGGTCCCCCAAGGTCCTCCTCTGGAGGTTTCTGGAGGTCCCCCAAGGTCCAGGTCTCCGCGGATGCCCGAGGCCTCTCGCCTCCCCTGGAGGCCCAGCAGGGGCCAGATCTGCGCAACAGCATCCAGGGACCTCCTCTTCCTCCCCTTCTCTTCTTCCTCGGCTCCCTCCCCCCCGCCTTATCGCGCCCTTCTGGTCGCGTCCGCCAGCGGCAAGTCGTCTCGACGAGGGAGCAGCGCTCCATGGCTTTTTTTCCGAGGCCCGCCCGGCCACGAGACCAATGGCTCTCTCGACTGCTCTCGAGGCGCTCGCGCCTGTATACCAGACATCGGACCGCTGTATATTCTCTTCCCGCCCGCGGGCCCTGGAAGACCCAACCCCTCCCCTGTGGGGGCCGCTCTGCGTTACAGATCCGGTTCTGCTGGCCTGGAAGCGGCCCTTGGAGTCTGAAGCAGAGTAGCGCGCGAAGTCTTTAGGCCTACCAGATGGGGTTCGTGTAGAGGGGTTCGAAGTATCGCGCCGCATCGCCGATGCATCGACGATGCGGCTCGATGTGGAGCCTGATTTTCTCCACGCCGGTGTCGCCGATACATCGCCGATGCATCGGCTATGCATCGTCGATGCGGCGCGATCCTCCGACCCCATCTACTCGGACCCCTTCTAGGAGGCCTCTAACGTCGGAGGCCTGGGTATCTCTCCTCCTCCTCCTCCTCCTCTTCCTCCTCGCTCCTCCTCCTCCTCCTCCTCCTCCTCCTCCTCCTCCTCGCTCCGCCCTGCCCGAGAGCAGGGGTCGCCAGTAATCGGAAGGGGCTAGGGCAAGGATAAATCCGTTCCACAGCGTTCCAGAACGCTCTCAGAGCGTTCCGAACGCTCTCAGAGCCGGAACGCTCTGAGAAGGCCGCGGCGCCCGAGACATTCTCCAGAACCGCCGGATCTCAGAGATTCTCGAGTTATCTTCACCCGATGTTATCCTTGTCGTGGCTTCGTCGTGAGTGAGGTTGCCGTTTTACAGAGAAACGCCACTCAGAGTTCTTGGGTTCAGCGAAGCCGTAGGTCACCACCCACCCTGAGCTACGCAGACACGCGATCCCCTGTAGCCCGATCCCGCTCCCGATCCTCCTCGCCCCCGGCGGTTGGGGCCGCAGAGTCGGCGTCCAAGGTCAGCACGCCGACAGGCAGTGGCCCTTGGGCCGGCCAGCATCGGACGACCCGCGCCGTGGGGAGCGCCGCGGTCGCTCGAGGCTGACGGGCCCACGCGGTGCCCTCGGATGAAGGAAAGGTACCGATGCCGTTGCTCGTCTCTCGGCGCCACGGCTGGACTCGGCTTCAGTTCCTGGCCAGAGCGCGCCCCCCCTGGAGAGGTCCCCTGGAGAGGTCGGGGCAGTGGCGGTTCGGCACGTCTCGTCCCCCCAGAGCCCTCTGCAGCTCAGTCGTTCTCTTGTCTCCTCTGGCGCTTGCTCAGCACGAGGGCGCTCTCTGCAGGGCAGGGGGGGTGCAGATTAGGGGATCGGGGAGAGCGTGCCCAGCGTGAGGCTTGGATGTCCTTTCTCCAGGGGCCCTTCGGAGCGATCTCCCCTGACCCCCACCCTGACTCGGCGGCGCGCCCAGGAAGGAAGTGGGAGAGGGCAGCTTAGTTGCCTCGATACGCCCGTTTTGAAACGCAATAGGTCCCGTGTTCAAGACGTCCGTGTCAATACGTTGCGTGTTGGATCCACGTATTGGACCACGTTTTGGCGAGTGTGTCGCGTCGGACCTACGATTTCAGCCTACGTGTTGAGCTCGGTATCAGTACGATACGTGTTGCGTGTTGCGTATCGGGGCAGCTAAGGAGGGCAGGCCTTCTCCGAAGGTGGCGGGGCCTCTCGACAGTCGCCCGGGCCTCCGCGCAGGCCATCGCTGCCCTCGGAGGAGGCTCCGAGAGTGCCGCGCGGAGGGGCCGCGGAGTCCCCGCAGCAGAGGGTGGGCACGAGCGCTCTGCAGAAGACCCGAGGACAAACATAGACATAGATACAACGAATCGTAGATTTCCTTGAAAATAATACGAGAACCCCGAATCCTGAAACGGGTATTCCGGATTCCACAATTATCCCAGTGCGACCTTACCTAGGAGTTGGAGCCCCTAGGAAAGCAGCATCAGTAGTAACAGTAACGCTAAGCTAAAGCTAAGCTAAAGCTAAGCTAAAGCTAAGCTAAAGCGAAGCTAAAGCTAAGCTAAAAACTCAGCTAAAGCTAAGCTAAAGCTAAGCTAAGCTAAGGCTAAGCTAAAGATAAGCTAACGCTAAGCTAAAGCTAAGCTAAAGCTAAGCTAAAGCTAAGCTAAAGCTAAGCTAAAGCTAAGCTAAAGCTAAGCTAAAGCTAAGCTAAATCTAAGCTAAAGCTAAGCTGAAGCTAAGCGAACTCAGAGCTAAAGCTAAGCTAAGGCTAAGCTACAGCTAAGCTGAAGCTAAGCTGAAGCTAAGCTGAAGCTAAGCTAACGCTAAGCTAAAGCTAAGCTAAAGCTAAGCTGAAGCTAAGCTGAATATAAGCTAAACCTAAGCTAAAGCTAAGCTAAAGCTAAGCTAAAGCTAAGCTAACACTAAGCTAAAGCTAAGCTGAAGCTAAGCTAAAGCTAAGCTAAAACTAAGCTAAGGCTAAGCTAGCACTAAGCTAAAGCTAAGCTAAAGCTAAGCTGAAGCTAAGCTAAAACTAAGCTAAAACTAAGCTAACACTAAGCTGAAGCGAAGCTAAAGCTAAGCTAAAGCTAAGCTAAAGCTAAGCTAAAGCTAAGCTAAAGCTAAGCTAAAGCTAAAGCTAAAGCTAAAGCTAAAGCTAAAGCTAAGGCTAAGGCTAAAGCTCCCAGGGGACTGGGGGAACCGCGGGGCGGGGACTGGGGGAACCGCCCAGGGCGGTTAGCACTGCCCGGCCCTTTAAGCAAAGAGAGTAAGAACCCTTCTAGGCAGAGCCTAGGTAGGGAATAAAAGGGGGGTGATCTGATTTTTTTGGGGGGGGCGGCGGGTTGGAGCTGTCTTGAAGGGTTCCGGGGGGGTCTGGGCAATACAGGCTGCCCTTTCGTGGCTGGTCTGGAGGGGGGTCTGCAATTGCTCGTCCGGGAGGATTGTGACTCTCTCCCTCTCACTGCCAGATCTGGCGCATCTAGTTTTAAGTCGGGCCTGTCCCTCTACAGGAGGAATGTTCAAAAACAGTCTAAAAATAGTCAGGGGACGATTTTTTCACAATTTTTGAGCATGTTTGGTGTATTTGTTGACTATTTTCAATTTTGCATGGCAAATCCCCCTGTAGGGGGACAGGCCCGACTTAAATCTAGTGCTTCGTGCCTCCCTGGGCCCTGCCTCGCCCCTCTCCCTCTTCCCCCCCCCGCGGTGGAGGCCGAAGAGGGTGGCGCGAGAGGTAGCGGCGACGGCGCTCCCGGCGCTCGCCTCGGCCGCCCCGGGCGTCCCGGCTCCTCCCTCTTCGGCGGCGCAGTGCGGAGCTTGCGCCCTCGCGGATCATCAGAGCAGGAAAATCGGGGGCGGCAAAGAGGGGGAGGATGACTAGGGGGGGGTGGATATCATGGCGTGGGCCATGATATCTCCCCAGATTTCACGGCGCCCCTTCTTATTTCATTACGTTCCCTGGCCCCCCCGCTGGGCCGCGCACATGCCGCCGGTCATGATTTGCACCCCCCCTTCTTGGACACCCCCTTCTTGGCCATTCCCGAGGCGTCCCGGCTCCTCCCTCTTCGGCGGCGCAGCCCGGAGTTTGCGCCCTCGCGGATCAGCAGAGCAGGAAAAGGTGCCGATGCCGCTCCCCTCCCCTCGTGTTCTCCTCTCTGGACTTTCCTGGGAGGCCGCCGTCACCACCGCCGGAGTCTCCCCGAAATCCGAGTCAGGACGCACCCTGGGAGAGGGTCCCGGGAGCAGCGGCAGCGGTGCCTTCTGGTTTCCTCACAGGCCAGCGATTTCCGGCGGCTCGCTGGGCGGCGGCGTGGCTCCGTGTGCAGCTTCCGCTGGGAGGTGGGGTGCCGGCGATCCGTCCAGGTTAGGCGTGGGAGGCAGGGCCCCGGCCCACCCTGGGTTATGAGAGGCAGACTGGGGCGCGTAGGGCTAAGTCGGGCCCGTCCATCTACAGCAGGAATGTTCAAAAATAATAATAATCAGGGGCCGATTTGTTTGTGGTACTTTTTGACCATTTGGGAGCATTTCTGGAGCATGTACACTTTTCGTCCAAAGAACCCCCTGTAGGGGGACACGCCCGACCTAAGCGTAGGGCATGTATCGGCTTCGAAATCCGAACCCTACTCTCGCCGATCCACGGCTTGGGCAACTCGATGGGCGGCGGGGGCAGGGTTCGGACTTCGTCGAACGCGTGGTGGAATCCGAGCCCTGCCCCCGCTTCCCATCGATTCAGGAGAAGCGATGATGGATGGGGGTGGGGCTCGGATGTCGCCACCCATCCCTCGTCCTTGCCCCCTCCTTTCGAGGGCGTCCTGGAGGGGGGGGGGTGGAGGAGAGGGTATCGATACTACTACCCATGCGCCGTGTTCGCCTCTTTGGGTCTCCTGGGAAGTCCTCGACGCCACGGCTGGATTCGCCTTGAAATTCCGGTCAGAATGCACCCTGGAAGAGGTCCGTGGCGCGGCGGTATCGGTACCTTCTGGTTTCTTCAAGAGGTGGGTGGATGCCAAGGCCGGGGCCACGAGATCTCCCCAGGGTTCACGCCCCCTCCTCTTATCTCAGAACGTAGCTCGGACCATGGATTTGCGAAGCCTGATGAGGCCGGTGAAATGTGTATACATATATATATATATATATATATCATAATCTAGCTTATCTCTGGGCAAGCGACCTGAGTGCCTTCCGAGAGACACATCTGGGCGAAGTGGGCCTTGCCCACTCAGCGAAGTCTTTAGCCACTTGGGGCACTTGTGACCCACTTAGACATCTGAGCTAGGCTAGGCCAGATATGAGCCACCTTCGCATCCGTGTTTGGCCCTTGTAACCTCCCTCTGTCCCCTCAGCTCCCCCCCTGCGGGGATCAGCGTCGTCATGAAGGAGACGAGGGTAAATCTGTTCCAGAGCGACGGCCGCGGCGCCCGAGACATCCTCCAGAGCCGCCGGATCTCAGAGATTATCGATGTATCTTCACCCGATATGATCCTCGTCCTGGCCTCGTCTTACGTGGAGGCCACATCCCCCCGAGGCTCCAGGGCACCCGTCGGTCGTTGAAGGCAGGTAGTTCTCCTGGGACTCCCAGATCCCAATCTACTTCAGGCGCCTTCCTTCCTCAAGGGTCGACCAGTCTTCCCTCTTCCCTCCTCTTCAGGGGGCGGGCGGGAGCCCAATGTAGGTCCTCTCCTTCCAACGCCTTCTTACGGGCACAGTCGGCGGCGAGCGAGGGGGGGAAGTGAGAAGGGGCGGGCCTTCTCAGAAGGTTCGGAAGTCCCCCGGCCTTCCGAGAAGTGTTCTCTAAGCCTTCCCCGCAGACGCAAAACACCCGTCAGGAGGCCGGAGGCCCTCTGAGAAGCCCCGCCGCCTTCCGAGGAGGCATTCATTCTCCTCGTTTCCCCCCCTCGCTCGCCGCCGACACAGGTCTTGGGGGCATCGTTCCGGGCCTCCTCTGGGGGGCGGGGGGGGGGCTTTTTCCCGTGGCCCGGGCTGCCTTCCCCCGGCGGGCCGTGGCCACCCTGGGCACGCACCCCATGGGCAGGTCCCGGAGCCGCGGCCCCTGCACCGCCAGGCACAGCTCTGCCCCCCGCGCCGTGAGCCTCCGCAAGCCAGAAGGACGGAGGGTCGGAGCAGTTCTCGGCCTCCGGGGTCCAGGCGTGCAGCACAGTTCAGGAGGGAAAGAAACACACAGACACAATGAATCGTCGATTCCCCAGAAACATGGGAAACTATGGGAAGTGGGGGGAAGACAGAAACGCAGAAAATATGGGAAACTATGGGGTATCCTTGTATTTGTGAGTATTTATTCGTGTGTCCCAGGGCCCCTTCAAGTACAGGGGAGGCCCACGCCAGGAAGCACCCTGCTTGTCTCCAGGGTGCCCAGGTTTCTTAGGTTTCGACGGTCTTGCTGTGGACAGCGTGACGTTCCCACATCGAAAATCAATGGGTCTCTGGGCGGGGTTTCTTGTGAAAGGTTTTTTGTGGACGGGCCTCCATTGTACCAGATGGGGTCCGAGCAGATGGGGTCGAGGGATCGCGCCGCATCGCCGCTGTATCGACGATGCGGCTACACGCCGACGTCGCCGATGCATCGCCGACGTTGCCGATGCATCGGCGATGCGGCGCGATCCTCCGACCCTATTCATTCCGACCCGATCTGAGAGGCCTCCAACAGAACCCCCTAACGCTGTGCAAACACGACGGACGGCTTGAGCAATTCTCGGCTTCAAGTGGGGGCCTTGCTGCGCCCAGGGGGGTGGCAGGATCTCCAACGAAGGGACTCAGGACCAGAGTCCAGATCCTCGGAGAGGGTCGAGATCTACGGGGGTCCGCGCATGACGTCGAAGGTCCTGGAGAGAGGGGTGTCATGGAGGCTGTTCGCTCTCTGCGGGCTCCCCTTCCCTCCTCGGCATTGGTGCCATCGAATCGGGATGAAGCACTGTTCCGGGGGAAAGTCGCGGGGTCCAGGATGGTTCCAGGTCCCGTTTCCGCCAGGTTTTCAGGGACCGTTGGGGTTTTGACGTGGTTTCGCAGCAGAGGCAGAACGAAGACAGAAAGAAGGAACATGAAAGTAGAACGAATAGCGAAAACACTGTTTAGCTCGAGCACTGCGTTGTTCCGGGGGGAACGTCGCGGGGTCCAGGATGGTCCAGGTCGTGTTTCCACCAGAACTTGTTCCCCTCATGCCAAGATCCCTCGTCTTCGACCTCCCGGACGTCCGACGGCTCGAACGATTGGGGTCTCGCAGCGTTCTCGTTATTGTTTGTGTTGGGCTTTTGGATGCCAGTGTCTGGCCATGATTTGGGACTCACGCAAAAACAGCTCGAAGCGAGACGCCGACTCCAGGGAAGGGGTCGAGTGGTCGTTGCGCCCATATTTCGAACTTTCGAGCTGCCGTGTGTCTCAATCCTTTGTCTTCGTCCTCACACGTCAAGCGTTCGATTGTTTCTGTTACCCCACGATTTGGTGTCTGTCCGGTGCTCTGGACACCTGGGGGGCGGCGAGGAGGGGGCGAGGAGGAGATCAGAAGGATGGCGAGAGGGAGGGAAGAGGAGCGGGCTTAGTTTGTTCGGGTGGGGGAGAGGGATGATGATGATGACGACGATGACGATGATGACGATGACGATGACGATGACGATGATGATGATGATGATGATGATGATGATGATGATGATGATGATGATGCTGATGATGATGATGATGATGATGATGATGATCATGATGATGATGCTGATATGCTGATATGCTGATATGCTGATATGCTGATATGCTGATATGCTGATATGCTGATATGCTGATGCTGATGTTGATGCTGATGACGACGATGCCGATGACGATGATGATGATTCTGCTGATGAAGAACATTGTGGTAGTGCTGGTGGTGGTGATTGATGCTGATGACGATGATGATGCTGATGATGATGGTGATTAACGACATGCCCCGATATTCATCCCCAGGGAATGATGGAGTTCTGGGCTTCAGGGGAATACTCACATATATCCCAAGTAAGCTGCACATAGGATGGTATACCGAATCCCTGCTCGCTCTGGCGAGTGTGTGTGTGTGTGTGTGCAGAAATGGGGGACAATGATATGCGCGGACGCCTGCGAGCACGGCCACTTGGGACTTCAGTGGAGCTCCTCATGGAGCCACGAACCGTTTGAGCGGTGTGCGAAAATGTGGAACTATGAGATAGAATGATGGTGGTCATGTTGCTAATGATTAATGATAAGGCTGATGATGACGATGATGATGATGATGATGATGTTGATGCTGATGATGCTGATGATGATGATAGTGATGATGATGAAGATAGTGGTGATGATGATGATGATGATGATGATGATGATGATGATGATGATGATGATGTGAATCATGAAGATCAGACTCTATCTACGATTGGTGCTTTTGGCGGCTTTAATTCAGTTCGGTGTCGCCGCACCTCCCCACGCCCAGGATAATCATGACAAACCCAACCCGTGGAAGAGGGGAAGGGTGGGCTTCATTTATCTGGGACATGTCGTTATGATGATTACGACGACGAGGATGATGGTGATGCTGATGTTGATGATGATGATGATGATGATGATGGTGATGATGTTGATGCTGATGATGACGATGCTGGTGGTGATGATGGTGTCTATGATGATGGTGCTCATGATGTTGATGATGATGATGGTGATGATGATTGTGATGAGGATGATGCTGATGATGATGCTGATGATGATGCTGCTAATGGTGATGATGGCGATGCAATGACGATG